GGATCCTGTCGTGTAGTTACGGATCCCCAGTGCCACCCTGGCCTCCTCCGATCGCTCGAACGAACAAATACAGTGTGACCAGTGTAGCTTGATTCACACACAATCAAAAAACTTGCATTGTGATCAGTGTAGCTTAGTTGCTCACTAATAAATGTCTCTTATGACCTGGATATTTTTAGTGAATTCGAAAACATACAGCACGACCTAGCTTGATTCACAAACAAATTACTGTTATGAACCAGTTATTTTTAGGAAATCAAAAGACCAGTGTAGCTTGATTCACGAACAAATGAATCTTATGAGCTGGGTCTTTTTTGTGAATCAAAAATATACAGCACAACCAGTCCAGCTAGATTCACGAAGTAAAATGTCGGATCCCCAGTGCCACCCTGACCTCCTCCTCCTCCTCCGCTCTTGTGAAATCATACAAACCTCTGCATCCCTTCTAGTGTGTGTGTGTGTGTGTGTGTGTGTGACTGACTCCTATTGCCAGAAACCTGGGAGGCAGGAGGGTAAGAGTGTGTGTGGTGAGGTATGACCTGGGATTGTGTGTGTGCATCTGGCAGTGAGTCTCTGTACATGTGGCAGTGCGAGTGGTTGGCTAACCCTTTCTTGAGTGCCAGCTCACTGGGAGAGCAATCCATCAATCACACATCCTCTCTGTAATCTGGCTCTGCCCAACATCCAACCAGCCTGTTGGGACTTTCTACATATCATAAAACATTCTTGAGCTGTTTTTCCGGTGCTTTGCTTGCTTTTCTGCCAGGCTCTTTCTCCCAGAAAAGTGCCCTGTGTGTCTTCACTCGCTCAGCCTCCCCGTTCCCACCAGCTGTGGAGTGAAACCAGCTGACTCTGCAAAGGAGTGGGCACCCAGGGGTATGATGGGAGAGGCATACCAACTCCAGTCTCACCATATTATACAAGACCCCCTGCCAGAGCCTGCTATCAGCACCCTGAGACATAGATTTTTCCCCATCTCATCCTGTTTCCGGAAAAGCGATGCCAATTAATTCTGTTGATATCCACAGAAGGAGCCTGAGGGCTGACTCAGCTGCCGATGTGCTGCGACACCTATTACCATTAGGTGCTCAGAAGTGCCAACGGCTTATTCAGCTGATTTTGAAATGCTCCAAGTCACATATAGGCACCAGAATATCATAGAGACTTGAGAGTTTGCTCTTTTGACTGTAAGTAACTGCTTAGTAATAGCAACCATTCAGAAACTGCTTAGCAATGCAGTAATACCTACTAAGAATGTATTGGCAACCACATAGCAACACCTTAGCAACCACATAGCAAAGCCCTGACAACCAACCTGGCAACATTTTCTTTAAAAAAAATGGTTTAGTGTGTTATTCTGTTGTATTGAGGAATGTGTGAATATACAGTATAATGTAAGCAATCTATTATTTTCTGGGCTTTTTGCCACTTTACTGAGAAAGCACAGGAAATTGGAGGAGAGAGTGAGGGAAGGGGTTCAGGATTCGTACAGGTCAGATTTGAACTTGCATCTTTTGTATGAGCACTATGGCTCAATATGTCGATGTGCATGTTGGTGCATGTGCACTCACTGCTTAGCCACGACAATTTAGAGCATTTAAGAGTGAGGTTTAGACATAGAGATGGGGGAAAGAGATGATCATGAAGTGTTTAATAATGTCATTATGTATATGATAAATATATACAGTATATGTGTGTGTATATATATATTCCTTCTTCAGACATGAACTCAGGTCATCTAAAAAAAAATTGCTTTGTTTTTTAATTTGTGGTCCTAGAAAACAAGTAAATAAATGAAGGACTTAGAAAAATTCCTGCTCAAAACTAAAATTGCTTTCTGAACACTTTTGATTAGTCTTGTTGTAGTCATGGTACATTGTATCTTTTGCATAGTGTATTCATTCTTGCAACTGCCACAAAAGACAGAGGCTGGTGCCCCGGGGCCTTACAGGACCCTAATCTGCACATCCTTTTTCTTCCCCTCTCTCATCCTCCCCTGTCGTAGCGCGGTCGTGTCCCTGGGAAGGTCTTAGTCTCAGAGCTCTATATGATTAAGTCATGGACGGATGTTGAGGGAAAACGCTGACCTCTCATCCTCCCTTGTGCTCCGTCTTGTAGTTTTCGGTCTCATCTTCTTCTTCGACGTTTCCCTGATCCCCTTGTGCTCCTTTATCCCTGCCCTCATGTTTGCCCCCAAGCCTCATAGATTGTAATAAAAAGACCAACGATAATAGCGGCGGCGGTGGCCTCAGTGGTGATGTAAAGAAACACAATATAACAATAACAAACACACTCCTCAGCCAATGGCCAGCATCTGACCTCAACACTGATAGTGTGTGTGTGTGCGTTTAGGGGGAGAGCGAGGTTGCTGGCATGCTGTATATACGGTCACTTCCTCCCCAGTTTAAACAGAGCAGGCTGTGCTGGCAGCCTCCTCTCTCTCCTCCAAATGGTTTGCATCATGTTTGAACCCCCTTGCCACCGCGCCCCCTCCCTTTCTCCATTTCTTTCTTTTCCTCTCTTCCTCTCCCCATAAATTATCGAATATCTCAGACTTTATGTGAATCTGAAAAAGGGTGAAAGAGAGAAGAGGGAGAGACCTTTTTTCTCTCTCCGCTGAAAGGGCATAAGAAAAAGTCATAAAGTGGCCTGCGGATCTCTTTCCATCCGCCCCCCGTCTCTCTCTATCGCTCTGCTCTGGTCCTTTTCAACCCTCAGCACATACACATTTACATAGTACATCATTTAGGACATAAGATCCATTTGTGTTTTGAAGATAATTGCCTACATTTTCCGTTTTGTAGTCTTTCTGGATACAGTGGAGAGAGACGGGAAATGGAAAAGTGGATCAGGACATGTTGCAGGCAAGACTCAGACCTATGACCTAACTACAGTACTGCACCACAGCTCTGATATACTGTACTTACATTTACCACACTTAAACCACATCCAGGTGCAACATAACAAGCTAGCATCTGGAAGTAGTTTGTCAGTTTACACTGAAAGTGAATATATTACGTCAACTACAATACCAGCCAATCCGAAGATATCGTATATTCTATAGAGTAGGTACTTCTTTTGAGTTTGTACTTACTTCTTCCTGCTTAATAGTGTGGTCAGATTTATTTTTGTTTAATGAATGACAAAAAGGTGGGAAAAATATCCCAACCCTTACGAAAATAAGTTTAAACCAAAAAATGAGAAAGTGTACTAGTCCAATTTTAATATACTTCTCAGAAATATAATAAAAAATTAACTTCAGTATACTTGACTTATACTGACAAAAAGATCTAAGTATATTTGGCCGACTTGTACCAATATTTTGGTCGAGATGGCAACATTTTCTCAAAAAAAAAGGAAACAATTATGTTCCATATAGAATATAATATATGTGTATTGGATGAATTTATTCTGGACGTTTTATCATGTTGTCGTTGTCACCCCCTACAGCGTCACTTCACTGCCATTTACAAATCCAATTTACTAACAAGTCTGCATTAGATGTACACTTGAGAATCTCGCCATTCTATTTTATTTTATCTTTCATCATTTTATTTTGATGGTCGCCATTTATACTTTGTTGACTATACTTTGTTATACTCTGTTGACTCCTAGTAAGATTATTAGAAGACTGTCTGCTTCATATACACTTTATTGTGATGTTCCCCCAATAGACATTCTACTGACAATAAGTAACTTTTCAACTGTCTTTAAGAATAGCTTCTAAGTTTCAGTACTGAAAACGTCCTTGTTAGTCCAATAAAAGCTTTTATTGACACCATGCTCAGCAAACGACTCGTTTTTCAAGTGGGGAACTAAGACGTCAAAGAGGATAAAACACCACCCCCCCAGAAGAAGATTAACGCCTACTTCAACACGGCCGGTTTAGCCCCGTCCACCGATTCGCGCATTACATGCATAGCTAAATAACATAGGCCTGCCGACCTCCTGATGACAAACCGGATCGAGAGTAAAACTCATTATAATATGCAAAACTGTGTTTACTTTAAAGTCTTCAATGTGAGACGCCCATAAAAATTGAGCGTTTTTGAGCTGGGCTCAAAACTAGGGTAGAAAATGATGTTTTTTTTAATGTAAAAACCAATCAAACGTCATAAGTTTGACAACAATGTTAAAAAAAATTGAAAGCCAGTTCATGACCCCTTGAACACTAAAATTTAAAAATTATAATTTGATGTTATCTAAAGCAGTTATATTAATTAATTGTAAGTTTAGCTGAATACTTTTTTTGGCAAATTGCGCCAGTCGCAGATATGTATCTGTGTGTAAGTTAGAGAGAGGAACAGTGAGATCAATGAGAGGATGAGTTGTGCCTGTTGGCAACGAGCGGATCATTTGCCCTGGGTGAGCTGTCACTCTTCTCCCTCTGGTCCAAGCCCCGCCCACTGTTTATTCATAAAGGGGAATCACTGTAGAGGAGGTCGTAATAAATCAGACCACAGTTAACTGTGATCCTGAGCCTGGCTGGTAGTGCATGTGTGCAGCTACATGGGTGGGCATACATTACTGTCAGCTACTCTGATTAAACGACTCTGGCTTTATGAACAGAGAGAGGGGTAAAATGGGGACATAACCACACCCTGCAGCCGTTTAGATCAAATCAGTTCACCTCAAAGCAGTATCCAGATCAATTTAAAGTGATTTAAGTGTTTTTGAACAGCAAACAGGTGTGTGCAGGTATCACTTTCAGAGATTATCAGCCACACATTTGCATTTGTGCGCCTCCCACACCGATCGCTGGCTTCACGGCGAATATTAAACGCTTTACAGGAGGCCTGGGATCCATTTGAAATTTTATATGAGCGAAGCATGTTATAGTGATTACTGACTCCATTTATTAGCATTTCCACTAATATGACTAATTTGTTTTCCTTCCTTTTTTTCTGTCAATTTCTTCTGCTCGCTTTCCACACAGTGAATGAATGCTTGTGTTTCTTGCAAATGTACCTTGAATATACCTGCTCATTTGTATTTCAAAGGAAGTCTGCTGCTCCAAGCATTTTCTCGGCTGACTAAACTTGTTCCTTTCTGGAGATGGATCAGACAGGAGTTTTTTTATGAGACCTGGAGAGGGAGACACAGCCACATCCCCCTCACTAACCCCAGGGCCTGGCTCAGGTGGGACGAAAGATTTCTTTCAGGTGAGTGGCAGATGACTCAGAATCAAACGATCAGAGAAAATGTGGGTTAAGTGGTTGCTATATTAGAACTCCACCTCCACATGTGAAGCCTTCTTCAGTTATTACTCTAGATTTCCACCATGCATGAATGTGTGAAACACTCTTCATTAGTGGCCCTCCCATTTTCGTTTCTGCCTCAACGGATCTTGCGGTTCCCACACTACTGTGTTCTGTTAGTGAGTGGCTTCTCTGACAGTATTTGTCCCATCCTGCCCAATTACTGTCATACTATGCTTTAATGGTCCCTGTCTGTTTTGGGTTATAATATAGCGGCATAACTGTGGTCAGTGGTTTTTTTATGATAATTGTGTGTTCGCTGAGATGGCAAGGCAATCGACAGGCATGGTTTAATTAAGAGAGCAAAAATGTTTGTGAGTCTGTGTACTCACAAGTCTTTTGGGTAATTAACGGTAATTACTTGGAAAATCTAAATTTGATTAGTTGTGAGAAAGAGTTTTCAATGAAATGGATTTGGGTCATCCTACGTGTCTAAGTATCTGAGAAATTATATGTTTCATAAATTAAAATTGAAGCCTTGATTGCACATGGTAGCGCTGACTTTTCGTAATTTTTGTTAAATATGTAAAAAATTCAAAAAAACCTCATGTCATAATTTTTTATAGTGCCTCATTTTCAATCCAAAGTGTTGTTTGTTGCAGAAAATATTTCTTCATGCAATTGTTGAGGCAAGCTTCAGTATTAGTATTGCTCATTGCTAAGCTTGGGGCTTTTAAATATGGATTTGAAATTTCGTGGCTTTCCCCATTCAAGTAGATGTAGCTGTGTACTTTTCTGGAAGTACTGTAGCTTTCCAGAGGGGTTTAAATATGGCTGTTGAGTGTTGAGTGAAGTAACATGTCTTAAAGGACTTTGACGATACCTCAAATCATGCTGCTTGTTGAATAGAAGTGTACTATTACATTTCAATCGGACGTACTATTTTCCCTGCCAGATGGAAAACAAGTCCCATAAAAGAGGCCACACAGATCTAGTTATAACAATAGGTAACTTAGGTAGTTCTTTTGACTTGCAATAGTAACCAACCACAGCAAGTAGTATCCAGAAGACCTTAGCAATGCCTTCGAAATCACACAGATCACCTTACCAGTAACTAAGCACCATTAAAGGAGTAGTTCACTTTTAAAAAAAACTTTTGCTGATAATTCACTCACCCCCATGTCATCCAATATGTCCATGTCTTTCTTTCAGTCGAAAAGAATTTAAGGTTTTTGATGAAAACATTCCAGGATTTTTCTCCATATAATGCACTTTACTGGTTACCAAACGGTTCAAGGTCCAAAAGACAGTTTCAGTGCAAAAAGGGCTTTAAACGATTCCAGACGATGAATAAGAGTCTTATCAAGCGAAACGATTGCTCGTTTAAAAAAAAAAAAAGTTACGTTTTATAAGCTCAAATGGTCGCCTTGCTATGTTCTGTGATGCACGTTCGTGACTCTCCTGTTTGAACTCGTTCATCAAAATGAACTAATCTTTTTCCGAGTCAATTCGTTCATTTCGTTCAATCCGTTCATTTCGTTCGAACCAAATGACACGAAAAAAGATTCGTTCATTTTGATAAACGAGTTCGAACAGGAGAGTCACGAACGCGCATCACAGAAAGATGCATTACAGTGACCAAAAGTGACAGTAAAGACATTTATCATTTCAAATAAATGCTGTTCTTTTTAAAGAATCCTGAAAGGAAAATTAATCACGTTTTTCCACAAAAAAAATATAAACCAGCACAATTGTTTTCAACATTGATAATATTAATAATGAGAAGAAGAAGAAAAAATATTTCTTGAGCACCAAATCAGCATTTCACTGAAGCTTCATGCAACACTGAAGACTGGAGTAATGCCTGCTGAATATTCATCGCTGGAATTAAATTACATTAAAAATAAACTTCTTTCAAAAACATTACAAAACTCTTACAGACCGCAAACATTTAAAAACAAAAATGTAATTATTTTTTAGTAGTTTAGTAGAAATTAATAATTTTCTACCAAATGTAGTGCTATTAAATAAAACTACAAAATGACGTAATGTTTTATTGAAGAAAGGTTTTTGTGAAGGGTTATGTTTAGATGTTGTGCATATAGAAATAAATATCATTACCTCAGTGTATGAAATCAACCAATAAAGTCAGTTGAAATCAAGGTAAGTGCCTACTATGATAGAAAAAAAAAATTGTGTCTGCCTAAGTTTCCATATTCTCATATGTGTGTGCGTGAGTGATCAAGGTGGGCTGAAACCTATGTACTGGTACTAACACAAACACCCATTTAACCTTATGGCTAATGGAAGGCTCATGACCTTGAAACCTAATCTAAAAGAGCTCTCACGGTGCCTAATAAACCGCTGTTTTTATTGTAGGCAGAGTGCTGGGCATTACATGTGGTCTTAATATAGGACAGTGGTCCACCCACACCGCAAGATGAAAGGAAACCAACCCTCCATTTAACACGGGTGATATACGATTCGTCAAACAGGGGCTGTGATATTTCACATGCTTTTATTTACTCATCTGCATGTGCATTAAAGCAGGCTTGTGAAATATTTCGATTGCCGTTTCCTTTTGCAACAGGAAATAACATATTAGCCAACAGATTTACAGAGAGAAATAGACCTGACTAAAACAATTACGCCAAACACGGCCCTGTAAATAATTATTATGTCTGTGTTTTTGGCATTACACCAGGTCAGCTGGTTTCATTGCAGGATCTCATATTAAACGCAGCTTGAAATCAAACACGTTATCACAGGTAACTGCAAATGTGCACACGAGCCTGCATAGAAATGCTGGACTCATATGGAGATGGTTATCGGCCATAACTTCCTGATTCTGTGCCGTTATCTTATTGGACATTTGCTGAAGTGCATTTTCTCTATCTAATAACAGATGAAGGTGATAAGAGGTTCTGAGGAGGGCTGTATCTTCTATGAAGGGTGATGACTGTGGCGGTGTGTCTTCTCGGACCTCCTCTCAGTCCAACTCCCTTGTGACCGGCAGCACGGCACTCCCAGTGCTCTCACTATTAAGTCATGAGGTTAGGTCATGTCCCTACACACCAGCTGGTTATTATTCTGCTTTTACTCACTCTGGGGGGAATTCACTAAGAATGAACTGCACCCATCGATAGTGGTGTTTGTTTGCCCAAAATGCACTGTTTTAGCTCACAATTTGCTTTAAAAAAATAAATAACGCAAATGAACGCTGCAAACAATGAATCAAAATTCGGTTAGCCATCTTGAATAAGACACACAACGGGCACATCTTTGTAAAGTTTCCTTGCAATCTCTCTTTCAATTACAATTTTCAGTTTTAGTATTCTTTATTTTCCATGACAAAAACTTAAAATTAAAAAAACGTATTGCAAATAATTAGGTAATATTAAGAAGTCAATTAAAATTATTATCATTATCAGTTAATATTAACAAATATGCAAATGTTTTATTTTATTGATTTTAATAATACACTAAGTAAGCTGTAAGGAAGGAAGCTGAAACAATTAGGGCTGTCAAACAATGAATCGCGATTAATCGCATCCAAAATAAAAGTTTGTTTACATAATATATGTGGGTGCACTGTGTATAATTATTTTATATATATAAATACACACACATGCTTGTATATATTTAAGAAATATTTTCATGTATATACTGTATATAGATTTATATATAATTTATATTGTATATAAATATTTATATATAAATAATATATTTTTTCTCAAATATACAAGCATGTGTGTGTATTTACATATATACAAAATAATTATACACAGTGCACCCACATATATTATGAAAACACAAACTTTTTATTTTGGATGCGATTAATCGCGATTAATCGTTTGACAGCCCTGTAACAATGTAAGCGAAAATAAATAAAATTTAAATAAATTAAAAGAGAATTGAACTAGCAAATAAGAAAGATAAACTAAAGATAAAGAATCGGTCCAGTGATTGTAAATGAGTGAAATATGGTCAAATTGTTCAAATACTACTCACATACTACTCATACTACTCACATACCGTACAACTATACTCTTTAGATGTAGTGGCGGCCTGCTGACATAGAGTTATTACACCACTTAGTTTTTCTACTGTATGGCCTGCAGCACATGTATAACTGTGTTTGTTGGTGTTTGTCTTTTGTGTTTGTGTACGTATGCACATGTTTATGCGTGTGTAGGGCGATGTGGGGTTCAGGTCACAGACAGTCTCCTGCAGTGGCTTCAGTGTGGTTACAGGTGCTTCACATTACTGCTCGTAAAACTCAGTGAGAGGGAAAAATTACTGCCACTATTTGTTTGGGAGGGAAAGAGTGAGCAGGGATCCGGGGAGTTCTCTGTATGGATGGAGTATTGACATTTTAATTCACAATCTCTCTTTCTCTCTCTCTCTCTCTCTCTCTGTCTGTTGAATGCTTTAGCCATGCATTCCAGAGCAGTGCCCATACTGTTTTTGAATCAGAAAAAGGTATCGCTTCGAAAGGGAAGAATCTAACTGGTTTTAGTGTGTTTTTGTCTGTGTGTTTTTTTTTTATGCCCGCTGGACCCATGCCATTCTTCTTCAAAGGTCACAAGGTCTGCGGGTCGTGGAGAGGTGAGAGCGGAGAGAGGAAGCAGGCTTAATCTGAAAGAGACTGGCAGTTTCCTGTCTGGAGAGCATGGCACAGAGAGCCCTCTGTCCCGCCTGACGGCCCCACACTCTCCCTGCCTGCGCTCCCAGCGTAATTCAATAAGAACCTGACATCTTCCTCTGACCTCCATGAGTCAAACTCCAACTGCACCCACCAGCACAAGAACACTGACTCACACCTTCTCATCAAGCCTGCTTGCAACAGAACCACTGATGACTGTTCAAATCTGCTTGACTGGGGAGAACTCTAAGATGAGCTGAAGATGTTTAAGGTCTCAGTCTTTAAATCACACATTCGTTTTGTTAAGAAACACCAAGTCCAAGTACTTAATAAGTACTTATTACTTAGTACTCTTATTGTAGTTTAACATTTTTAATTTGTTTTTTTTTTTTTTTGTTTCTAATTTGGTGACACTTTACAATAAGGTTTTATTAACTACTTTGGTGCATTGTGCAACATTTCATGGTTAAAATACCCATTTTCTAACCAATATAGGCTTAAACAATTGCCTTAAGGGCTGAATGAGCCCTTCTCTGATCACTGCGATTGCCTCTATAATCCGGTAAAGTAAAATAAATAAGAGGGATTTAGGATGGAATTTGAGACTGGGCGTGACGTCATGCGCATTCATGCTCACCTGGCTGTGTCTGGTTTGTGTATTGACCGCCATTCTCCGTATCAGAGAAGACTACTTGAGCGACAAAACTTTAGTCAACTATCGACAAAAGTAGAAGATGGATTCAAAGAGACCGGCTTGTAGTTCATTCCAAACCCCAACGCAAACTCCACGTAAGACGAAGAATATAAACTTTTGTCGAGTGCCAGGTGTCATGAGAGTCAACATCGGGAAGGCTTTCAACAACTGGAGAGATTTCCGGTCTACTCCTGGGCTCAAACGGGATCCTATACAAAGTGATAACTTATATGGTTTGTTCATAAATGTGTTTCCATAATAATACAATCATAAGTGGATACAGTAAGCACATAAAACAGTTCAACATTGAAATAAAAACTAAAGATTTGTTACAATGTTTTTTAATCTTTGTTAATGTTAGTTAATAATAATCCAGCTGTTCATTGTTGGTTCACAGTGTTAACAAATACAACATTCGATTTTATTATTGTACAAGTAAATGTTGAAACTAACTAAGATTAATAAATGCTGTAGAAGAATTGTTAATTCTTAGTTCATGTTAATGCAGGTGTTTATCTTAGTTTTTAAGTGATGTTTTTGTTTGTTTGGTTTTTTTTTCTTTTCAATTTAGTTATTATTACGGTAGTTTCCACTGTATCATTGTTAGTTTGTCATTTTAGTTTGTCTTTATTTTAGTTATCATTTTAGAGATACCAGAGTTAATTCACTAATTCATGTAATTTAAAAATGTTTATTGCCGTTAAAAATGAAATGAACATTTTGTGTATATATATATATATATATATATATAAAATAAATTAAAGCTGAGTTTTAAAGCAGGAGGGCTGTTTTATAATATGCCATATATCTATATATATATATAAAAAAAAAAAAAAATAGTTTAAGCGAAAAATGAATTTAAGCACAAGCAAAACGACTCCTAACTCTTTAAACTAGACTGAATACAGCATGAACATCTATATGCTGAATGCAGGCATTACATAAGACACCTGCTCATCCTCACTGGTTCAGCAAAGGTCACTTTGCTGTGAATAGAATCTTTGTTCTCCAGACTACAATGCACTGGTTTCCTTGTGTGTTTATTTCAAAGCTCTGGTCTGAGGGAATAACCACACAGTCAACACCGGCACATGGCAGCTGATAACACATCTCTCTCTTTTCCCCTGATCCGCACAGCTGCTTTACAGCTTTGGTGGAGTGGCACACAGGTCTGGCTCTTTGCAGATTATTGGGATCCTGGGTAACATTATGAGATCAGAGTGGTTTACTGTTACATTTGCATCATATAAAACAGAAGAAACATTATGGTCAGCCAGCCATTGTTTAGTTTGACCCGTGTTGATAATAAGTGTGGTAATCCACTGGCAGAATACAGGGAAGCTGGCAGAGCCGTCTAATAGAAGGCCAGAGACTGCGCAAACACACAAACTTAGTCATCTCTGGCTTCTCCTGTCTCATTAACACTGCTTTCTGGAGGACCAAGGCTCCTAGGTTGTTTACAGGGTTTATACAGAGGGCAGTTACACATTAAATGCATAAATCAAACATATTACGATGGTGCTTTGAGCTCCAAAACCAGAAGGAACAAGGCATATCTTTTAAAAATCAATCTTATTTTAAAAATTGTTGGAATAATTGCATAAGTAAAACAAGTATAAAAAAAAGTTTATTTCATGGAAACGGTTAGGATTTGAATTACTCAATCATAATTTGTCTATATATTGTCCTTATTTAAATCCCTAAGTGAGCATGTGTTTGTGTGTAGATGTCTCCAGGTTCCCCTGTGCCCGCTGCAGGTGACGGGTTCTTGCAGGCCTGTGTGGACAGGAGGAGCCGCTGCTGGCCTTCGGGACTGGAAAGTATGCGCTCTGTGGCCACAGTCCCACCTCTCAGCCTGGGAACGGAAGCAGGGAGTCGCAAGGGAAATCAAGCAGACAATCAGGTAAAGGAGAGAAAGAAAAATAGAGAGACAAATAGTTGTCTTGTCATATTTTATTGTACTTTTTATTTTATTCTTTTGTTTGTTTCCTATACCTGTTTCACAACCACAGCTACACCTGTAAAACCTGGTTGACTTCCACTCTTAAAGAGATTTTATTGACAGGAAGTCAGGAAGAGAAATACACATTTGTGTATTGGAAATCGCTGTGCGACATCAACATAAATTTACATCCGTAATTGGTTTTGGTTCTGATATTCAACTTGAAAAATAAAATTATGCAAGAGGAACTGATTGGGCGATGAAAAGTTACGAAGTACTGCATTGATTTATAGTTTTTTGATATTTCAAAAATCATTCTGATGATTTGGTGCTTAAGAAACATTTATTATTATAATTATCAATGTTAAAAACAGTTGTGCTTAATATCGTTGATCAATAGAAAGTAAAAAAAAACAGAATTTATTTGAAAAAAAAATATCTTTTGTAAAATTATAAATGTCACTTTTGATCGATTAATGCATCCTTGCTGAATAAAAGTATTGCTGAATCAAGCATTTGACCTGTATTAATATATACACTGTATTAATATATAGACCTATATTCAAAAATGTTTTGAGGGTATAAGGATATATAATGGTATAATTAATCATTTTATTTGCTTTATTAATCATTAAAAATGATGAATAATTTATAATTGAATGTGCTTTATTTTTGAATGAGATTTATTAAAACAATAGAAGTCTAATATGTTTCGTATGTGTGTGTCATGATTCTGTCTTGTTTTCCTTGTCTTGTGTGGACTTTTGTTATTTCCTGTTCTGTGCCATGTTTTGTAGTCCTTTGTAGTTTTTCTTATTTATTAGTCTCCTAAGGTGTTTCTAATTAGCCCCGCCCCCTTGTTATCTTGTTTAGCTTGTTTGTCTGTGTATCTGTGCTTCAGTTGTTGTTTGTCGGTCGTTGTTTGCTAGTTGTTTCCATGTTCCTGTCCTGAGTTCTGTGTTCCATTGCTTGCCCTGGATTACCTGTTTGTTTTATTAAAGTTGTGCTTGCATGTGGATTCTCTCTCCACTTCGTTCCTACTTCATCGTTACAGCGTGTGTGTGATGTGTTGATGTGGAGTCGTTAATGAAACTCAATCCTGCATCAGCATGTGTTTGTACAGCGTGTATGTGTGTGTGAGAGAGAATGTGTCGCTGAGCCGCGTGTGTTTGGGTAAAGACAGTGGCCAGCAGGGGACGGGGTGGGTTCAGGGCAGGGGAAGAGCGAGGAGAGAGAGATCAGGGTATTCATTTTCCACGAGGGGTGTTCTGCTGCCCTTCACGTACAGTGTGTGTAGGTGGGGGTCACAGACACCATACTCTTCTCCTTTGCACTTTCTTTCCTTCATTCCCTTTTGAATACACACACACAAACACACTTACACACATGGACAAACACACCCCTTTTCTCCTCAGCGCGCTCTCTCTCTCTCTCCTCCCACCTCTCTCATTCTTTCAGCAGGAGAATGAATGGTTTTTAGAGTGAATTATGTGTGGCTAAGAGATGATGGTGAATGAATGGAGTTGAGAGGGAGTGTGAGAGTTGAGCGAGGAGCTGGAATTCATATCGGAGTTTAACATCAGATCAGGGGACAGCTGTTTCTAATGAGTCTCTCCTAGTTATTTTGTCACGGTCTGCTGAACAATTATGAGGTGAGGAAGGCGGGACAGGAACAGGAGTGTGGGCAATGGTTTGTACTTTCTCTGGTTGCAGGTTTATGGGAGTAATTTGTTTATAAATAAACAAGTTGGCAAGTCAGTAAGTACTTAGACTCTGTGACGGTGAGTTTTTTTTTTCTTTTTCCCACATCTCACCGACAGGGCCCAGTTTAATCTCTTTCTCAGTTCCATCTCTTGCTCTGCACCATTTCTGTTGGAGTCTCATCAGTCTTATTTCTAAGAGGCAGTCCCATTTCTGTAAGAGAGTCACTCTCACTACTTGATGCCAGTTTCATCTGACTCATTTCGGCTTCAGTATGAGTGTTACTTTCATTTCGGTGTCAATGCTAGCACCATCATCTCATTGTTAGAATCGTTTCTGTCTTTTAGTGCCAGTTTCATTTCACACAATCTCAGTGTTCTGTTAGACATTTACTGGCAACACTGTCCATCAAGACAGTCAGAACTCAGAACTGATATAACATTACACTGGATGTTTCGGCGCGACACGACAAAACCCAGACAGTGTAAGTTATACATGTTATATTTCTGACGTACGGTACTCCGAGCACAAGCGCTCGCGCTATTTCTGACAAGGGACAAACAGGTTTGCATTAATGGTCAAGACAAAAATTAGGAAATAAAAAGCATGATGCAATGGTGCCAGTCAGAGAGACTGTTACGTCAAATACAGTAGTATACTGCAAATTTTAAAAATACAGTAAGTCTCTGTATGTGGTGTTTAATGTCACAGGAAATTACCATGATGCAATGGGAATCACAGTTAATTACTGTAAAGAGAAATAACAGTATAATATTGGGGGGGATTTAAAGTAAATAACTATACAAATTACAGAAAAGTCTAACATCTTTATCTCAGTGCTAGTCTCACTTCAGTCTCAGTATTGGTCTCATTTTGTCTCAATGGATAAAGATCATTTTATAGTTCAAAGTCAGGAAGAGAAATACACATTTATATATGTATTGGAAAAAGCCTCATTTTTGTCTCAGTGCCAGCCAATTCTATATCTCAGTCCAAAACTCATCTTTGTCTCAGTGCTAGTCTCATCCTAGTGATTTCAGTCTCTTTTTCGTCTCATTCTTCCCCTCATAGTCTTGTGTCAGTCCCAGTGGTGAGGAGTTCACTGTCAGTCAGCTCTAACGAGCAAAGCAAACATGCCACTTCTGATCAAACTCAGAGAGAGACAGGCTCAAATTCTCTTGTCATGCTCTATGCTAGAACTGAGGGAGCATTTGATTTGAAAGCCATTAAAATGAGCTTCATAACGTGTGGCCGTGACAGTATACAGTAAGGACAAACACTGCACCTATTTAGGTCCCCACCACAGATTGGTCAGGGCTGCCATTGACGGAATAGACTGAACATCCGAGAAATGCCCAGATTGATGACTATTCTGATTGTTTTGATGGGTAGGGTTAAGGTTAGGGGATAGAATATAGTTTGTACAGTATAAAAATCATGATGTGTATGGAAAGTCCCCATAAAACATGGAAGCCAATTGCCAACCTTCCAAATCCCAAATTTGATTTAAATTAAATTGACTTGAAATTTAAATTGGAAGCAAAAGAAAAGAAATGTACTGATTAAATAAATAAATAAAGAATAACAGTCACACAACAGGGAATTTTTATTTGTCCAACAATGTGTCAGAACTGATCACTACTCAGGTGTTCTGTTTTCATAATCAAATCAAGGTGTTTTGGCTCCGTTTTGAATGTAAATTAAAGCACTCTGGGACTCTCAACTCTCTTCTATATGGAACTCTCTTCTATCGTTCTATATGGTCCATAACATTTGTTTTAATTACATTCCTTTTAATTAATCTCTAACATTAAATTTCATTAACATATATGAATGTTTGTATGTATATTTGATTACATCCTTTTTTAATTTAAAGGGACACTTCACCCATTTGCATTAAGCTTTGTATCTTTGAGAAACCCTGTCATATTTTTGAATGGTCATGGTTTATTCCCTTATTTTCCCCTGAGATGGGAGAAATAAGGATTTAAGTGTTTTACTTCCTTCTTATTATGACGCAAAAATCGTCATTTTGCGTCATAAAAAGCAAGAAGTCACATTTCATTTAAAAGTGTAGAGACTACAAACATTAGCTCATTATTTTTCAAGGGTGTGTGACCCACTCACCCTACAGGCCTATTACAGATCAGTGGGTGGGAATTCACTTGCAGATTCTGAATCAATATCCGCCATCTTGTTTGGAAGCTAAGCTAACAAGCGCTGTGGACATAGGAAGTATGATAAAGACGGAAACTAAACATGATATGGAAAAAGAGGATTTTGAAATTCTGCTGCTCGAATCCGATGTTTCGTGGCTATCTTTACGAGTCGCAGTATAGTGAAGAGCAGCTGAGGCTAATGGAGGAGCAGGAGGCGGCTGCCTGTCGCGGTCGAGTAGCCTGGACTGGCTCCAGCTGGGCGGACCGCTGATGCATGTGCTCTCGCTGTGAATATAGTCGCAGATAGTCCATTTGCTACAGAGAATTTCAACGATGGCAATTTCTCCTGAACACAATCTCTGAATCAGACCAGCACACGGACGTTTGTGTTGTGGTTGTGATGTGAACCATCCTAGTTTCGCGTAACTGAACATCCAGGTCTCATTCAGAAGTTCACCATATGGAAATAAATACAAACGAGGAGTAATTCACTAATGAGTTTGCTAATGTAACGTTAACGGGGTTGTTTGTTGTTGTGGGAAGAAGGAGGCGGGAACCGGCGAACAGTTAAACAATTTAATAGTAAAATGAACGAATACAAAATGAAAGTGTAAGCCAGCAGCCCCTCATTGACGACGGCTGTAATGTTACACACAACAGAACCAAAACGCATCATAAAATCAGGCCTGTTTCTCTCTCGATCTGCCGTCGTCGATCATCATTTTATGCTTTCGCTCCTCCGTGAGAGACGCAAGACCGGCGCACACCTCACAGGTGTCTTTCATTATGACTCACGCCATCGGCCTCGCACGGCGCGCCGTCCTCTTACGTCCCTTGCCCTCGATCGTCCTGCTCGCCACAGTCAACTAACTACTTTGTAGAAATTTTGTGTGAAATGAATTTCAAACTCTGGTGACAGCTAACGTTAGCCTTGTAGACATAAGAGTGATTTCTCTGTTTACGCTGTTTCGGATTAGTTGGTGTGGCTTGTGATGCTGTGCTATGTGGTGCATTGTGGGAGTTGTTGTCTTACATACAAATGCGCCCCTCTGTCTTTTCTCAGTCAAGAAGGCACCAAATTCAAAAATTCTTTTACATTTC